CACCTTTCAAACGGTTAGCCAGCACTTTGGTGATGATTTTCATGGAAAAGTTACACAAACTTATGGACCGGTATTGTGTGAGTTGTTCTGGGGCAGCAACTTTGGGAATGAGAACTAGATTGGTATGATTCAATTCGCGGAGCACAAACCCTCAATTGACGAAGCCCTTAACTGCTGCACAAACATCAGTCCCTACCACGTCCCAATGCTTATGATAGAAGATCCCAGAAAAACCATCGAGTCCAGGGGCTTTTAAAGCCCCAAGCTGGGAAGTTGCCACCTTAATCTCATCATCAGTCGCTGTTCGAGTGAGGGTTCTATTCATATCCTCAGTAACTGCATTATGAACCACCTCTAGGGCGTCACTCAAATCCCTCCTAGGTAAAGCTAGATAGAGATTTTGGAAGTAGTCTTGTAAATGCCCATTGATAGTCTCATCTGATTCTAGCCAGTCCCCAGTTGCTGTTTGGAGTTTAACCAACTGATTCCTTTGCCTGCGCTGGGTAACCGTAGCATGGAAGAAAGCAGAGTTTTTGTCCCCATAAGTCAACCAATTAACCCTTGACCATTGGTGGTGGAACATCTCTTCTCTCAGTAAAACCTCTTCAATGTCAACTTGCAAAGATTTGATAAGGCTCGAATTAGCATCTGAAAAAGGAAGCATTCGGAGTTCCAAGAGTTTAGCTTTAAGGGTTACAAGCTTGATACGATTATCCCCGAACTCAATTTTACTCCAAGAAGAAGGACCACGTTGACATTATTTGAGTTTGTGGACTAAGTTGTACATAGAGGAACCCACTGTAGAATGCAACCAGTTAGACTTGATAACTTCAACACAACGCAAACTGGTGGTCCACATAGACCCAAATTTGAACAAGCGTGGTATTTTTTTGGGAGGAACATGACACTGCAGGATTAGGGGACAATGGTCGGAGCCAATTAAGACTTCATGAAAAACTTGTGTATAGGGAAATTTTTGCCTCCAATCTACCGAAGCTAAGGCTCTGTCTAGCCTTTCTCGAACATTGTGACTACCCGTTTGATTGTTTGTCCAAGTATACGGGTGACCCTTAAATTCTAGGTCCATAAGCTCATAATCAGAAATCAAATCCTGAAAGTGCCGGACTCGAGAGAGACTGCATCCCACTACTTCTTGCTTTTCACTCATGCATCCAACTTCATTGAAATCCCCTAAACAGACCCAAGGGTAACAATTCTCAGCAGCAAATGATTTGAGGTGTTGCCAAAAAAATTTCCTATCAGGCCACCTAGGTGGGGCATAGACAAAGGTGGCCATCCATCCATTAGGAACTGTTCCCAGAGTAACAAAACATTTGAAGAGATTTGCAGACTTGTAGCAGACTTGTAAATGCATTTCATCCCTCCACCACAGCGCCAATTCCCCAAAAGCTCCCACTGGATCCACATAGCTAGCGTGAGGAAAATCCAAGCTTCTTCTAAGTCTTTCTAGCTTGGGTTGTTTATTTTTGGTCTCCATTAAGAAGATTATTGCAGGACGATGGGTATGGCTTAACCCTCGGAGGATCCGGATTGTCAGGGGTCGTCCCATCCCTTGACAATTCCAGCTCAAAATCAACATAGCGTGTGTGGCTGCTTTGGGCCACCCTGGGAACAGAACTAATATCCTCATCTGGGTAAGTACTGGGAGCTTGGGAGGCAAGCTCATCATCAGTATTAGGCAAAGGGCTTACAGTTACTGGGCAAATACTCTCAGCTACCGTAGGGTCCTCAGACTGCCGAATTAGGACATCAACCAGATTAAAGCTGGTAGTGGGAGTGGTCGAAGGTTTAGCATTTCTGCGTGAATATTTGCGTTTACCTGGTGCCTTGGAATAAAGAGGAGGAGTGTCGGTGATCAACTTAGGGCCATGGTCAGCTTCCTCCAATTTCAGGAGCTTTGGGTAACGAGTGGGGGGGTCAACTTCCTCGAGAGATTTCCTTTTCAAAGTCAGATGTTGGAGGGCCTTGGATAAACAGACATCCAGAATTTGGGTAGGATAGGCACTTGGAGCAGTGGAGGATGGGCCCAACTTATCAGCTAAGGGGAGCCCACTAGTGAGAGCTCACCTTCTTGCTGGAGGAATTTTGATGGAAAATTTGGAAGAAAGGCTAAGGTTAAAGAAATGAAGAAGAACAAGAAGGAAAAATGGAAGATCATCAAAAAGTTTATCAAATTGAAGATTAAAGGTAAGGACTTCAAGCTTGAATTTTGCAAAATCCTTGTATTACGCTCGAATTAAAGATGAGTTTGGGTTCAATTTCACATAATTTGGAAGAAATTAGAAAACAAAGATGAAGTAATTAAAATAGGTTCATGGTTATGGAAATTAATTATTTTGGATTTGATGATATAGTCTTGGATAAAATTAAGCCTCATTGTTACATGCATGGGCAAATTCTACAAGTTTAATACTCTAATTAAACATGCATCATAGGATTTCAAGGTTTTGAGATTTTAATTCACGTTTAAAAGGTTTATGGATTTGAATTTGACTTTGATGTGAAGAAAATTAAGAATAATCCAAATTAGAGCTATTCTAATTAAAATTATTTAGTTTTGATCTTAATTTCATACATGCAAGTTTCATAACTCCAATTTAATGATTTAAAGGAAAATAGAAAAGAATTAAGAATCAATTTCATGTAATCTCAAAGAAATTAGTAAAAGGGTGAAGGAATTGAATTAAATTCAAATTGTAAAAATTAAATTAGAATTTCAATTGTACATGCATCATGAATTTTTCAAGAGTTTTGAAAGTTTAATTCATGTTTTAAAATTTGTGGGTTTGAAGTTGGGTTTGATATGAAGAAAATAAATATGAATAACCGAAAGAAAAATTAGAATCAAATGAGAGAAACCGAAAGACAAACAAGTAACCGAATTAACTCGAGTGTAGAGTGTAATTGTAATTGTGTTGTGCTTGACTTTATTTGTTTAGGTCGGATGCCAAACCATTAGTACATGTACCGAGGAGCCCACTGTGAGTAACAATGATGTCAAGATATGTTCAAATTGTATTTATTTTCTGAATGATAAATTATATTGTTTTTGAACGATTACTTTCTATCGATTGAATGATGATCCTCTTTTGAATTGTATTCGTGACATCCATAGCGTAGTGTTATCATTATTGTTATTGATATTGCTATTGTTATAGAGATTTTTGTCAGTTCCAAATCTTTGAGCTAGTGTTATTGTTTGATGGCCATCAATTGATTATTCGGTCTTTTAAGGCCTAGTGTATTGTTGCTATTGGATGTACCACGTATAACCCATAAGAATAAGATTGATTAAATCGATTGAATTGAACGATGATTGACAAATGATAGTGATAGAAGTGTTCTAATGCTAATTGATTGTTTCAAAGACTATAGAGGACATCATTCTTAACCTCTTTATACATTTGTTATTCACAGTTTATTATATATATGTAGGTGGCCAGGCACCAGATCAAAGCTAGAGGTGTCGACCCGAACCCTTGCTTTGTCAAGCCAACTATTGTTCCTCATTGTGAGGTTTCGAACTAGCATGTGTCAAGTTGTTTTTGGGTGGCTTGACTTCACCATTTTGAGTTTGTTAAATGAAAAGAATGTTTTAAGACTAATGTCAATACTATTCCAGATAATGGGATTGATTCCCTAACTTATGTTTTGTCTTGTATATATATGCTTATGGGCATAAATGGTTATGAATATGGCTATGTACATGAAAGTGTATCTCAATTCAGGTCCTCACAACTCATTGGACGATATATGTTGTTATTGATTGGCTTTTGCCAGCCCTGTTATATGGTATTATTGTCAGTATTGTTAAACAGGCCTTCGATAATCACGGATTACTGGCCAGTTACGACGCTAAACTTATAGGGGCGGGTTTGGGTTGTGACAATTACAACAAAAAGATTATAATTATTCTATCGATTCGAATCCTAAATTTATGATATTTTTACTATCCTAAAAATATAATTACATGAATCCCTTGATCAACGATTCTGTCCGCACGTATCAAATTAGGAAGCAAAAAAATATGAAAAAGGGTCCGGACAGAGTTTTTTTTTAATAAAAAAATAAAAATAAAAACTTAAAATTAATTTTGCTAGTTTGATTTTTTAACACGTGGATTGAGGTAGAAATCTATAGAAGCTGCGAGTGAGGAGGGACCAGGGATCTGCTGTGACTAAGTCATGGTAGCGATCTGTGATGATTTAGTAGAGTTTTTTTTCTGACTCTTTTTAGATGATTCAAATCACTAATATTATAGAGTTCGTTAAATAAATTATCCATGCAAAATATTAAATTGATTAAATATCTATAACTTTATAGCAATAACACATTTAGTTTTTAAAAAATAAATGGTTAAAATAATCTTGATAATTTTCAAAAAACAATTTGAATCTGATCATAAAATTATGAATTTATAATTAACTTAATTTTTTATATAAATAATATAATTAATAAAATTTAAAATAAAAATGAACCGAATTATAAAAAAAAAAAACTAAAAAAATCTCCCCACTAGAGCACTACAGTCACAGCAGATCCCGAATCCGAGTCAGGGGGGGAGTCCAGCAGTCTTGTACATGTAGAAGTGCTTTCCGGGGTTGTCTATCTATTTACGTAGTTGCATCATCACGCGTGTAATATAATAGGAGGCATGTCTCCAGTTTGATATTTGATTAGAGCATATTATTAAGTATGTGGAATTCATGAATTTAATTTTGATAATTTAAATCGTTTAATATATAAAGTTTGTTAAATAATTTATATTTATAAAAAATTATATTAATCGAATATTAATAATTATGTGATCATATCATATTTTTATCAATAATAAATATAATTTTAAAAATAAATTATTAATAAAAATATGTTCTAATTAAATGATTATTGATATTTGATTAATTTAATTTTTTTTAAAAAATAAAATACTTGATTTTACCCTTATATACTGACCAATTTAAATTATAGGGCCTAGGGCCAACCAGTATAGTCCAGTTCGCTCTGTGAACCGGAGACAATCTGTAACACCTAGGTGTTCAGTATTTATTCATCATTAGCACAACTATTGATCTCCCAATCTTCCATTGCATATATTCCCTTTCCTTGTTCTCTCCCCCTCTCTCTCTCTCTCTCTCGACGAACACAGTAGAGACTCGTCAATCTCAATCAGATCTCCTACTAATCGAACTCTGAATACACACACACACACATATATATATATATATATAGCAGAATCACAACTTCCAGTATTGCATTCGCTCTTCTATTTGTAAGTGGATCTCTCTCTGACTCTTCTTTACTTTGTCATCACCCTCCCCTTATTGAATTCTTAAATATTTTTTTTAGTATATACTTTCGTTCCTTGTTCTTTTGGTATTCAACCACACCACAGCTGAAGCGCTTATTTAGCGTGCTCAGCAAACATCGGGTTTTAGCTCTCTGACATCATCATATCTTAAATCACGAGCGACTGACCCAGCCAGTTGGGGTTTTCATACTTGGGTTTGAGAAATCTGTAAAAAATCGCACTTTAGTGCGTCTCTGTCATGGATTTTTTCTTTATTATTATTTTTAATTTTGTATTTTCTATAAAGAAAAGCACACCACATTCGCCAAAATAAATTATTCTTTCTATGTCCTTTCTCCTAATATCAAGCAACTAGGAACATGACTATGACTGTGGTACCTTTCTTATTCTGTTTTCTCATTACATTATGCTTTCTGTCAAAACATTGTAAATAATTTGTCATGTTAGAATAGTAGAGAGAGAGAAAATAATATGTATTATATTGAATGAACCTCCTATATAATAGAAGACCTGTATATATAGGCTGAGAAAGATTATCCTATTAGAAATCTAATTATGAGAAAAAATATCCTATTGGAGACCTAGCTATGACAATACCTAATATGTCTAAGAAATCAATACTTAATATATATAGGAATATATACCGTATATACATTGACATCTTCCTCAAACTTGAAGAGGATAAACATCTTGAGTTTGGAGAGAGAAACTAAAACATGAAATATAACTGTTGGAAATAAGCCGATTAGAGGCCGGAACTAAAACCGGGAGACAGTTTATGGTTGTGTCGGACCATTGTAGGAATTGGCTGAAACTAATTCCAGGACAATTTAAGGTCGTGCCGGACCGATATAGAAATTGATTGGAACTAATGCTGAGAGACAGTTTATTGTCATGTCGAACTATTGTAGGAATTGGTTGGAACTGGTTGGAAATAATGCCAGGACAATTTAAAGGGGTCATGTTGGACCGATATAGGAGCTAACCAGAATCAATGTCGGGACTGTATACGGGGTCATGTCAAGACCGTTGTAGGAGCTAACCAAAATCAATGTCTGGACAGTTTACGGGGTCATGCCAGACCGTTGTAGAGACTGGATGTTGAACCAGTAAGCATGGCGCACACATAATTTATGATGTGGCGTTGAACGATGATGGCAACAGATGATTGAGTACGCCAGGAGGTGGCTTGGATGGTGTGCCAGGGATGGGTTTGGTGGTGCGCCAGAGAGGGGCGGCTTAGGTTGTGCGCTAGAGAGTGCGGCTTGAATTGTGCACCAAAGGAGGCTACTAGGTGGTTTGCATGGTGTATAACCATGTTCACCATGATAGTACCTCAAACTCAAATAGGTTTGAAGATAGAAACTAATTTGAGGTTGAAGCAGATGAAAATATAGAGTGGAGGGAAAAAAAAAATGTATTATGAGTAAAAAAAAAAAAAATATGATAGAGATATTTGGGATAGGAATAAACGAGTGGGTAGTGGAAGAGATCACCACGAAACGATACTGAAAGGAAAACATGACAGCGGAATAGGTTGAGGTTCGACGAGCGGCCAAGGCGAGGCTGTCGCCCGCTGGTGAAGCGAAATTCCTAGGTTCTTAACCTAGCTCTGATACCATGTTAGAGTAGTAGAGAGAGAGAAAAAATAATATCTATTGTATTGAATGAATGCCCTATACAATAGAAAGCTTGTATATATAGGTTGAGAAAGAGTATCTTATTAGAAATCTAACTATGAGAAAGAGTATCATATAAAAGACCTAACTATGATAATACCTAATATATCTAGGAAATCAATACCTAATATATGTAGGAATATATACCATTAAATCGTTTAATTGTATATAATCTCAATGTCCTTTAGAATCTGTTAAAATGAAAATGCACTATATATTTGGAGGGTAAAGTTTTGACATGGAATTAAATTGTCTTCGTGTTTAAAAATTCGTATGTGTACCTTGGGATAAAAGCAAATTTACCAACCTAAAAAAATAAAAGAAGAAAAATATGTTAAAATGAAAACACATTATATATTGGAGTTGGAGGGTAATGTTACGAAATAGGGCGAAAATCCCGACATAAGGGTGTTTCATAATAAACGACATAAGGGTAATTATCGTATGTGTCCGAGAATTACGGAAACTGGAGTGTTCTATAAATTATGACCGACATAAGGGTGGGGATGGACCGGGTGCAAGGAAGAGTCGTGCAAATCAACTGTTGTTGCAATGCGGTTAAAAATTCTGTCTTGGAATGTGCGTGGGTTAAATGATAAAGAGAAAAGGGTGTTGGTAAAATCTGTGTTAAAAAATGCGAGAGCGGATGTGGTGTGTCTCCAGGAGACCAAGTTAGGGTGTGTGGGGGGGAGTTAGTTCGGGAGGAAGTTAGTTCGGGAGCTGTGGGGTGGTTGGTATGTGGCTTGGACGTATTTACCAGCTCTAGGGGTGGCAGGGGGAGTTCTTTGTTGGGATAAGAGGGTGGTGGAAATGGAGGAGGAAGAGGTGGGGGCTTTTCAGTATCATGTCTATTTCGATGTATTGCGGATGATTTCCGTTGGGCCTTTACAGGGGTATATGGACCAGTTCGTGGAGGGAAGCGGCCTGGTTTCTGGGATGAGTTACAGTGTATTGCTTTTCGATGGGAGGTTCCTTGGTGTGTGGGCGGAGACTTTAATGTGGTTAGGAGTGTGGACGAGAAGCTGGGGGCAAGTTGGGTGGTGGCTTCTATGCGGGCTTTTTCTTCATTCATTAATGACCTAGAGTTGGTGGATTTGCCACTGCAGGGGGGCAGTTATACTTGGTCTGGGGGTGGTGCGATGTCTCGGCTAGATAGATTTTTGGTGACAGGGGAGTGGGAGGAGCATTTCTCTCAAGTGACTCAACTTCGGTTGCAACGTCTAGTCTCAGATCATTGGCCAGTCTTATTGGATAGTAGGGGTATCAGGAGTGGTCCCGCGCCGTTTCGGTTTGAAAATATGTGGCTGTTGTCGGAGGGTTTCAAGGACCGGGTGCAGGGTTGGTGGGATAGTTATCGTGTGTCTGGTCTGCCGAGTTGTCGCTTAGCGCAGAAATTGAAACTTCTCAAGTCTGATTTGAAGCAGTGGAATAGGGAGGTGTTTGGGCACCTGGAGGTTCAGAAGGCCAATGTGTTAGCTATGATGCAGGAATTGGATCAGATAGAGCCTGTGGGGGGTTTATCTACGGCGGATTTGGTTCGTCGGGATGGGGTTCGTAAGGAGTTTGGCAAAATTGCACGTATGGAGGAGATTAGCTTTCGTCAAAAGTCTAGATGTTTGTTGCTGAAGGACAGGGATCGTAATACCAAATTCTTCCATCGTTTGGCTAATGCTCATCGTCGGGTGAATCAGATTGGCAGATTGCGAGTAAATGGTACGGAGTTGGCTTCTATGAGCATCTATTTCGGGACGAGGGGGAGGTGTGGAGGCCAGGTTTGGATGGAATTGTGTTTGATGTTATTTCAGAGGCCGATAGCAGCATGCTTGAACGGCCTTTTGCAGAGGAGGAGGTGTTTGCAGCTTTGCGGAGTATGCCTGGTGATAAGGCTCCAGGTCCCGATGGCTTTTCGATAGCATTTTTCCAACACTGTTGGGGGGTGGTGAAGGCAGATGTGATGGCTATGTTTGAGCAGTTTTTTCAAACTGGGGAGTTTGAGCGTAGTCTCAATGCCACATTTATTGCTTTGATTCCCAAGAAGGGTGGGGCGGAGGATATTCGGGATTTTCGCCCTATTAGTCTTTTGGGCAGTGTGTACAAGTTGTTGGCAAAAGTGTTGGCTAATTGGTTGTGTAGTGTGTTGGATGGGGTGGTTTCCGAGTCTCAGAATGCTTTTGTGGGTGGGCGGCAAATTCTAGACGCGGTCTTAGTGGCGAATGAGTGTGTGGATTCTAGGATTCGCCAGGACCAAGTGGGGCTTATTTGCAAACTTGATATCGAAAAGGCATATGATAATGTCAATTGGAAATTTTTATTGTATATGCTAGACAGATTGGGTTTTGGGAAAAGGTGGCGGATGTGGATTCAATTTTGTATATCTACGGTGCGAATGTCGGTTCTGGTTAATGGGTCTCCAGCGGGATTCTTTCCTTCGTATAGAGGTTTACATCAAGGAGATCCTTTATCTCCGTTACTGTTCATTTTGGTGATGGAGGCGTTGGGGCGTTTGTTATCTAGAGCAGTACAAGGTGGTTTGTTGCATGGGTTTGAGGTGGGACGGGCTCCAGTAGCTTTGACGGTTTCGCATTTGTTTTATGCGGATGACGCGCTTATTTTTTGTGATGCGGATGTTACTCAGATTGGTTATTTGAGATGTGTGTTGTTGTGTTTTGAGGCAGTGTCGGGCCTTCGAGTGGATCTGGCAAATTCGGAGCTAATTCCAGTGGGAGATGTGGCTCGGATTTCAGTATTGGCAGCTATTCTGGGCTGTAGGGTGGCGCCTCTCCCAGTTTCATATCTGGGTTTACCTCTAGGGGCATCTTTTAAGGCAACGGGGGTTTGGGATGGGGTGGTGGCCCGTGTTGAGCGGCGCTTGGCAGGCTGGAAAAGGCAATATTTATTTAAAGGTGGCAGACTTACGTTGATTAAGAGTGTCTTGTCCAGCATTCCGACTTACTTTATGTCCGTTCATGTGATTTCGGTGTCTGTAGCAACACAGATTGAGCGGTTGCAGAGGGATTTCCTCTGGGGAAATGGGGGGGAGGGTTCTTATCATTTGGTGGCTTGGGATCGGATTTGTAGTCCCAAGGTTCATGGGGGTTTAGGGGTTCGGAGGTTGGTCCTGTTTAATGTGGCTTTGTTGGGTAAGTGGTGGTGGCGTTTTGTGGAGGAGAGGGATCGCCTTTGGAGGAGGGTGGTGGTTGCGAAGTTTGGGTTGGGGCAGGGAGGGTGGTGTTCAGGGAGGGTGGGGCAATCGCATGGCTATGGTCTTCGGAAAGGGATTTGGTTGGGGTGAGAGGAGTTTTGGAGGAGGGTTTTGCTCCAAGTAGGGGTGGAAGATAGAATTCGATTTTGGCGGGATAGGTGGTGTGGTGACGTTCCATTGGAAGTGCGGTTCCCTTTGATTTATGGTCTTGCTATTGACAGAGAGGTCACGGTGGGTGATGTAAAGTGTGGCCATAGAGATTCAATTGTTTGGAATGTGCACTTGCGCTGTGCTATTCAGGATTGGGAGCAGGATCAGTTGATAGCGCTATTGGGTTTTCTATATGTGTTGCGAGTTTGGAGGGCTGGGCAGGATTCTTTGGTTTGGAATTGTCCTGGGGCTAAGGGAAAGTTTTATGTGTCCTCGTATCATGCAGAGCTAGCTCATGCAGAGGCGGTTGTTTTTTCGTGGAAATGTGTCTGGGTGTCAAGTTCGCCATCCAAGGTGGTCTTTTTTGTGTGGACGGCCATGTTGGGGCGTATCTTGACATTGGATAATCTAATTCGCCGTGGCCATACATTGGTTAATTGGTGCTGCATATGTTGTGGTGATGCAGAGTCGGTGGCGCATTTGCTAGTTCATTGTCCAGTTACTCATCGTCTTTGGATGCTTGTGGTCGCGACTTTTGGTTTGGCCTGGGTGCAGCCGGTTTCAGTTACAGCAGTTTTGCAAAGTTGGATGGGGGGTCGTATTGGTAGGCAGCGTTGGAAAGCGTGGTTGCTTGCTTCTCATTGTCTTGTCTGGTTAGTTTGGTTGGAACGTAATAGGCGTGTTTTCTAGGGGGTGTCTCATTCGGTTCCTTGGTTTGAATGCCAATTGCTCATGGTTTTGCATAGTTGGCTGACCTGTTCGGTTGATCTTGATGTTTTGGCATTTGTAGATTTTGTGGAGGATTTGACTTGTTGATATGTTCAATGTGTTAGTACTGCTAGGCCTGATATCAAGTGGATCAGATGGCATGATAATAGGGTCTTGAAGTAAATGCTTACCATGCGAGTGGGCCAAGTCCACCTCAATATTAATGCCAGGCCCAAGACCATCTTTAGGTCCACTAAGACTTTTGATAAAGCCAGGTGATAAAACTTGCTCAACACGCCTCTGGGGGACAACATAGCTTTTTTGGGTAAGGTACTAGCTCCTCCATCATTACTTCTTTCACACCTACTACACTAGCACTGCTGAGCCCCACATCACACTAAGGCCATGTTTGTTTGGGTGGACATGAGCTTGGGATTGGATTAATAGTCCAATAAAATTATTAATCCGATATTTGGTTAAACAATTGAAGTACGGACTAATTATTTTAAACTTGACTATTAATTAAGATAGGATACATAATCCAACGAATTCGTAATCCTAAGACTATTAGTCATGGGAATACTAATCCAGTCCGCCCAAACAAACATGGTCTTAATTGACTACTGCTTTCATGTGGCATAGGTGGTTGTTCTCCGTTCAGTTTCTCTTTACATAACTCTCCCAGACAAGGTTAGGATGAGTACCTGAACTTTGAAGGATAACATGATGGGTCGACGACAAAAAGCTGCTAAATTGACTGTAAGAAGCTTTTTGTAACATATTGGGAAGAATTTGATTCTATAGTTTTGAAACATATGACTTTCCTTGCAGAAGCAGTTTTCTGATGCTTTTTTTTTTTTTAATTGGCAGAGAAAGGGGGATCAACTTATTCAACTACCAGATGGGATTCTTTCCAAAATCATTTCTATGCTGCCATTGAAAGAGGCTGTGAGAACTAGTGTCCTATCAGAACGATGGCGATTCATTTGGATTGATCATGCTGACCTCTATTTTGATTCTGCTAATATACTTGGGAGCATTGTTTACTCCAACAGCATATCTAATTGTCAATCTGAGTTGGATAGAAAACTGCAGAGGTGTAAGTTTCTAAAGTGGGTCAATCACTTTATGCACCAACGATGCAAAGGCACAAAAGTGGACTCTTTTGCTGTTCAATTTCACTTGAGCAAGGATTCTGCTCTTCACATAGATCAGTGGATCAGTTGTGCAATCACAAAGGGAGTTGAAAACATTGATCTTGACTTATCGGAGTCATGCAGCTTTATGGTGGATCATGCCTCTTCTACTGCATCAGAAAAATACGAGTTCCCTTGCTGGCTTCTTGTTGCAGCTGGAAAAAGATGTAGTGTAAAGCATCTGCAACTGGCCTCATGCAGTCTCAGTGCTCCTCCAGGTTCCAGCAGTCTCACCTCTCTGAGAACCATTCAACTGCAAGGAGTAAATATCAGTGATCAACAGCTAGAGAATCTCTTATCAAGTTGCTTGTTTCTTGAAGGATTAAGTTTGCATCTGTGCAATGATCTTGTCAATTTAAAATTTGCTGGTCCAAACCTCCGGCTGAAGCTTTTGAGTGTACAAAACTGTATCAGATTGCAGGCAATGGAGTTATGTGCAAAGGATCTTGTTTTGTTGGAATATACTGGTCACTTAATTAGCTTATACTTCAAAAATGTCCCAAGGCTGGCTGAAGCTTTTCTGAATTTCACTGGAGAGAGCAGACTGGATGGTGGAATTTATGCCCTCACAAGATTTGTGAGCGATCTACCTCAGTTGGAGACTTTTAATTTCGTCTCGATACTGGCCATGAAGGTAAATGTAGTAAAAAAACTGGTATAGCATATGTCAAAGTATTTCAGCTAAGAATTTAAGAATATTTGAAATTGATAGGATCAGGATCCGTGCCAATGCGAGCTGTTCATGCACCTGAAACTTGTTCTATAATGATGTATTTAAATAGAATAGTTTTCCAGTTCCAGTTCACAGTGAGTTTAGTCCTGATTCCTATGCCATTGGATTAGTGTTGACAGTGAGTCATACTCTCTGCATATCCAACCTTGCCACTTATGCAGAGTCTTCTGTGTAGTCTTTTTTTTTGTTTTTGTTTTTGTTTTTATTTTATAATTTATATAATGCATGCTAAGTTTGTAATCTTTCCATTTCAGATACTAAATCTTCCGGAAACTGGGCCTACATTCACCAATATCAAGCAATTTGTGCTGACTGTTTTTCCATTTGATGATGAAGACAAACTCTGCTGGATTAGTTATGTCCTGAAGGCTTTCCCTTTATTGCAAAAACTACAGTTAAATGTAAGTACATGTTAACCTTTTTATGGAAGCAAACTAGATCAAGTTTTGTAGTGCATTGTTGTTCATATCGCTGAATACTTGTTTTTCCGTTTGCAATGTGCTGATTGATAATTAGAAATTTATGCTAGAACATATAAGCTGAGTAACTCTTTTTTTTTTTTTGGTTTCTTACAGTTGTTTTGCCCAAGCTTTATCACAACACAACCAAAAGAGATAGAAAGAGTCCTTCCTGTGTGCCCTCATAAGCATCTCACTGAACTAGAGGTAAATGGGTTTTACGGTAATCAGCATGAAGTTTTGCTCCTCAAGTATCTTATTGACAATCTAGTTGAACTCAAAGTTCTAGCGGTGAGTCCTTCCCAGAAGGTGTACAGAGGATTCAACAACTGGGTTTATGAAGAAGCATTGTCATGGTACAAATTTAGAATTGAGTCCATCCGTGAGTGGCTTCATACAGTAGTTCCCCCCACTGTCCATTTGCATATTCGGTGATAAGGTTGTATAGTTTCTGGTGTTATGATACAATACTTGCTGACGATAATAGATGACCATTCAGTTATAGGATTAGTTCATTTTATATGACTGATTTTGATGTTGTACTTTGTACAAAAGTTGAATATTTGGACAAAAACTTATAAAACAAAAAGTAGTTGTTTGAACGGAATATATATTTGAATAATTCATTTTTGTTTGGAATATTTATTTGAATAATTCATTTTTGTTCATAAGTTTACGTCTGAATATTTGACTTTTATTTAAAAATTTATATTCAAACAACACAAAACTTTTAACTCTAAACAAAGACTTGTTGCTATTCGGGGACAGCACAGCGGATGTTGAAATGACTAAGCCATCTATACTTCTTTTCAAGAAGGGGACAACCACGCCTACATAATGTAGCATTTTGAAAGAAAAATCTATCAAAAGTTTGACACCCATACTTTTGATAAGGAGGCCTTGGCTTATGATTTTCTTGGCAAGCATTTGGCTGTTGAAATGTCCTTTCTATCAAAATAGACTGCCACGAGGAAACTCAGGAAAAGTTTAACTTTGCGTACCAACTTACCCTCACCACCTACTACCGGCTCCAACCGCCCTCCTACCCATCCCTAACTCTGGCCGTCACTTCTAATCCCTTCCCTCTCTATCCTCACATAGCTCCTTCCTCTGCTTCCAGGACCACCACCCCTTACAACTCCACCCTTGCGATCCCAACTCCCCTTATCCGCTCAACTACCCCCTAGCTCCTCACTCCGTCGATCATCACTTCTACAACCTTATGACCCTGTAGCCCTACCCTTGCAATCCTCACTTTTGTGACCCCCATCCTCTTTGTGGCTAGGGTTTCGCAAAGAAGAAGAATGAGAGATAGAGAGAGAGAGAGAGAGGGGGGTTTCACAAAAGGAAAGAAAAAGAAAAAAGGAGTTGAATGGGAGTTTGGGGTTGCTGCTACGCATGGTGCGCAGCAGCAACTGTTGCGCGTCTTATTGGGCTCATTTGAGGACTTAATTCGAGGCTTTTCCCAAACTAAGCCTCTTTTGCATCCTATTTCCCAAACTAGGCCTCTTTTGGACGTATTTCCCAAACTAGGCTAAAGCACTATTCCGAATAGCGCTTTCACTGTTTGGAGTCCAAAATTTTGTGAATAGTAAAAACGCTATTTCAAATAGCGATTTTAATTAAGAAAACGCTATTCCAAATAGCGCTTTTATCATAAACTTTTCTTGCGAATAAAACGCTATTTCTAATAGCGCTTCATTTCTGGAATAAGGTTCCTAAGAAAACGCTATTTCGAATAGCGATTTCAATGTCCATTTCGTTTGTGAAGAAAACGCTATTCTGTATAGCGTTTTCACTATGCATCAAGCTTTGTGAAGAAAACGCTATTCCGAAAAGCAATTTCACTGTTACTTTCAGTGTTCATTTATTTATTTATTTATTAATATTTTGTTTATTTTCCTGTTCTCATTGTTTTGGTGATAATGTGATTCATAAAATTTTTTTGGCTTTACTAAAGTCATTGTCATGTTCAAATTTGTTTTTTTTTCTTTTGTTTTTGTTTTGGTTTAGAAGGTGTAATTCAGAATTTTTACATAATATGGGAAAAACCTCTTTTCATATATTAATTTTACATAATATTTTTCATATATATAATTTTAAAATCATGTTCATTTAGAAATTATTAAGGCAATCATGTTCATTTACAAAATTCATGGTTTCACTGTTCACTATTGTAAGCATGGATTGAAACCACGCTTTCACTGTTCATTTAAATTATATGTAGTTTTTTTTTGTAAATATTTTTTTTCTGTTGTCATTGTTTCGGTGATAATGTAATTCATAAATTTTGTTTGACTTTATTGAAGCCGTTCTCATGTTAAATTTTTTTTTTTTTTGCTTTTGTCTTTGTTTTGGTTTAGAAAATGAAATTCAAAAATTTGTTTGGTCTTTACTAAAGCCGTTTTTATGTAAATATTTTGTTTATTGTTTTGTGTTAGTTTTGGGTTAGAAGGTGTTATTCAGAAAGTTATTTTGCTTTACTAATGCAATTTTTTACTAAATCCGTTTTTATTGTTTATTGTTTGGTCTTTTGTCTTTATTTTGCTTTACTAAAGCCGTTTTTATGTGATAATGTAATTAATAATTTCTTTTTTGCTTTACTAAAGTCGTTTTCATGTAAATTTTTTATTTTTGTTTTGGGTTAGAAGGTGTTATTCAGAAAGTTATTTTGGCTTTACTCAAGCGGTTTTCATTTAAATATACATAGATATTTATTCTTTTGTCATTGTTTTGGGTTAGAAGCTGAGAATGTAATTCAGAAAACCAGTGTAGTAAAACTGTTTTGTACCCGTTTTCATTAAAAAAAATTATTTTTTTCTTTCGTCTTTGTTTTGGGTTAGAAGGTGATATGCATGCTCTACAGTCCGAAGCACACCCACACACTGTGCAACTTGACGAACAACGACGAACGGTGAGACACGATGAGCACCGTAGAGGAGGCCAAGAAGACGAAGGCGGCGTGAACTTCCTGCACCTCTTGAAGACATTGTAAAAGATGAGTTGTCACTGTAATCAAAAAATCGAGTAAAAAATCGAGAAAACCAAAGCCTGTGCACCAAGTCACATGACTTGACAATCCATCTGCATATACTGACAAAATAAGGGCATGCTCACTGTAAGGTAAATCAGTGAATTCACTGGTGCCTTGTGACTTTCTGATTTGAGAATCCCACATATATCAATAAGAGATGAGTTGTCACTGTAATAAAAAAATCGAGCAAAAAATCGAGAAAACCAAAGCCTGTGCACCAAGTCACATGACTTGACAATCCATCTGCATATACTGACAAAATAAGGGCATGCTCACTGTAAGGTAAATCAGTGAATTCACTGGTGCCTTGTGACTTTCTGATTTGAGAATCCCACATATATCAATAAGAGATGAGTTGTCACTGTAATAAAAAAATCGAGCAAAAAATCGAGAAAACCAAAGCCTGTGCACCAAGTCACATGACTTGACAATCCATCTGCATATACTGACAAAATAAGGGCATGCTCACTGTAAGGTAAATCAGTGAATTCACTGGTGCCTTGTGACTTTCTGATTTGAGAATCCCACATATATCAATAAGAGATGAGTTGTCACTGTAATAAAAAAATCGAGCAAAAAATCGAGAAAACCAAAGCCTGTGCACCAAGTCACATGACTTGACAATCCATCTGCATATACTGACAAAATAAGGGCATGCTCACTGTAAGGTAAATCAGTGAATTCACTGGTGCCTTGTGACTTTCTGATTTGAGAATCCCACATATATCAATAAGAGATGAGTTGTCACTGTAATAAAAAAATCGAGCAAAAAATCGAGAAAACCAAAGCCTGTGCACCAAGTCACATGACTTGACAATCCATCTGCATATACTGACAAAATAAGGGCATGCTCACTGTAAGGTAAATCAGTGAATTCACTGGTGCCTTGTGACTTTCTGATTTGAGAATCCCACATATATCAATAAGAGATGAGTTGTCACTGTAATAAAAAAATCGAGCAAAAAATCGAGAAAACCAAAGCCTGTGCACCAAGTCACATGACTTGACAATCCATCTGCATATACTGACAAAATAAGGGCATGCTCACTGTAAGGTAAATCAGTGAATTCACTGGTGCCTTGTGACTTTCTGATTTGAGAATCCCACATATATCAATAAGAGATGAGTTGTCACTGTAATAAAAAAATCGAGCAAAAAATCGAGAAAACCAAAGCCTGTGCACCAAGTCACATGACTTGACAATCCATCTGCATATACTGACAAAATAAGGGCATGCTCACTGTAAGGTAAATCAGTGAATTCACTGGTGCCTTGTGACTTTCTGATTTGAGAATCCCACATATATCAATAAGAGATGAGTTGTCACTGTAATAAAAAAATCGAGCAACAAATCGAGAAAACCAAATCCTGTGCACCAGGTCACATGACTTCACAATCCATCTGCATATACTGACAAGTCTCTCCACGATTTGACTACTCAATGTGTGAAAAAATGAAGCTTATGTAGGCAATGTTGTGTTTCACGTAGCTATGCATCATTCGTTGTTACGACCTACTATTTGTTTTTCATTGAAAAGTATGAATCTGTCCAGAAAACTGGTGCATTCAATTTTTGTTGTCATTTGGAATTATTTTAAAATCAACTTTAAAATAATGGTGGATCTTGTGAGTGAAACGTGGGTTACGTAGGACTACTTGGCCACCAATGTTTGTGAATATCATGGTGCATTCAAATCTGTCAAGAAAACTGGTGCATTCAAATCTGTCCAGAAAACTGGTGTTACATAGTAATTTAGGAAGTGTTGTTCTCTTTGGGTATAAATTTGGAAAATAACAAAGCAGCGTCATTAGAAGTGGTTACCATTCTAGTTTCTATACTAAAAGAATCGTCAATTTCTTTACAAATGTGCAGAAAACAATCTGTTTGGGTATAAGTAATTGTAAATAGTGATTCATCCCAACCAAATCAAGTAAAACCAATTGGGTCTTACACTTAGTCCCCCAACTGGACCAACCACTTGGGTTTGAGGTTGTTTGTCCAGCCCCCGAAGTTTAGTTTTTTGTCAACCCTCCATTCCTTACCAGAGTCATCATTTTTACTGGACTTCCAGGAATTGAAAGGTGACTCTTTCTTCTTTCCTGATGGAGGTTGAAATTCTTTACGTAGAGAATCATCCCTATTTCACGAGCCCTAGTTAAGGGAAGCTTTTCACCGACCTACCTGTTATGTTTTATGTGTTATTGAAGGCGGTAGTTCGTTTGTCTTAACTTTATTAGTCCCCCAACTGAACCATCCACTTGGCTTTGAGGTTATTTGTCCAGCCCCCGAAGTTTAGTTTTCTGTTAACCCCCCATTCCTTACCAGAGTCATCATTTTTACTGGACTTCTAGGAATTGAAAGGTGACTCTTTCTTCTTTCCTAATGGAGGTTGAAATTCTTTACGTAGAGAATCATCCCTATTTCACGAGCCCTATTTCACGAGCCCTAGTTAAGGGAAGCTTTTCACCGACTTACCTGTTATGTTTTATGTGTTGTTGAAGGCGGTTGTTCGTTTGTCTTAACTTTATCAGTCTCCAACTAGACCAACCACTTGGCTTTGAGGTTATTTGTCCA